ATTTTAACATTTGTTGCAATCTCTTTTGACAGTAATTGCAATGTATTAATTATGATTTGTTTAGTGATAAATGAGATATAATTAACAAATTGTATGATATGTTTGTCAAATTGGATATTCTAATTTCACAGTAACATCCGAGAATACCGATCAAGGAGAAGCGACAGTAGCTGTCGGTGCCTTTGATATCGGATGGACCTTTTTCACATCATGACTTTGATTAATACACAACTTAGCACGCTGATAAAACATGCTTATTTTCTACACTGAGCGAAATAGTTTGGCAAATTATCTGAAATCATTGTTATAGACCATGCGCAAATGTTGTAATGTGATTTAATTACATTGAAGTAGTTAGGGTTAATAGCAATTAATAATCATGATATTTACTGTTCGTAGTCCTTTGAAAAAGTAAATAAACTTAATTTTTGGCCTGTTTTGGACGAACAAGAACGGTATGCATAAAAATATCCAGATCCAGACATTCTATTACAACATAAAGAAACATCAAAAAATATCACTCAACAGCTCACAGACTAAACACAACTTGGACTGAATTTGACAGATAATATGATTTTGAGTGATACACACACATACTTTAAATCAAAGTATGTGAATACACAACTTATTTTCGCACATGCGCGTATCAAAACGGTACACTGAAAACACCAAGCTGTCGCTTCGCCTTGATAAACCATTTATTATCTGTAAAATTATATTTACATAAAATGTTCATTTAAATATGTAAAAATCTTGATGACAAAAAACACTAAAGATTCTAATTTCATAACCAATTCTGTAAATGATTTGTTTACAACTAAGTGCTCAAAATTGATACAAGATAGATATGGATAAGCAATCTATGTAATTATGTATAACGTTGGGTGTGAGACACGAAGTGTGCTCTGTGGAAATTTATAAAATTTCTTTACTACCGAATCAAATCCAGGTTTCCAAAGCGATATGTTTGTACATCCACGGATGCAACAAGTTTTTTCGATAATGATATTACGAAAATAATTCGACTTTATTTAATTAATAATTACTAAACAATAAATGCCGTATAAAACATTAATAAATCTCCCCCAAAAAGTGCACATTTTTGTCACCAGTTGACGTTAAAGTCATGACGCACGGTCCCTATACTACTAACTGCGCTTGGCCTGGCTTGACTGCAGATATCGATATACAATAAGTAAGCCTGGCTAAGCCGGGCCGCTGACATTACTATATATTTCTACATCCAATTAAATCAATCCTTCAAATTTTAAACTATCGGGATATTTATATACAGCATTTTAAGTTTTATACACTCTCGCCAGAAGAACGATATTAAATGCCATTTATAAGACAAAGGTAGAATAGTGCGCACCAGCCTGTATTAGGTATATAATCCATCTGTCCAATCACGGCAGACAGGCAGATAATTCATGAGAGTCTCTCCTTATTTGTCTCACGTACAAATAATTAAATGTCTCATCTTTATTTCGAATGATCCATAGGTTAACACATTGTACACCATTTTGTTTAATAAGCAAACTTCAATGCCGCAAATCGCATATTCATAGCTCAAACGGTTACTTAAATATTTAATTTCGAAGAGGAGCTAAAATTCCATTCTGCCCTTCTATATCTGTAACGTGGGAAGAATGGATTTTTCCACGCTACTTAAGCCTCACTAGACACTACCCGTTCCTAAATTGATAGGCGGGTAGTGTCAGGTGCAACTTCGACTAAACCCCCCTTTCTTCTATTAAGCTACATATAAGCAGGTTGTAACGGGGTCCGTATAAGATTAAGAGTGTCGGAATTAAAAGAAAAAAATTATTGCAATAAAAAGTACTCATTTTCTATAGTAAAAAAAAATTTGCGAAAAATACACAAAATTTTGAGAAAAATGAATTAAAAGTTGTAATTTTATAGGTTATTTTGGTTTTATCATACTATATGTAGGTGACAATTTCGAAGTTTTAATGATAGTATAATTGAATTTACTTACTTTTGTTACATTTTAACTGAAATTAGATATCTATGGAAAATTATATTGCATTTGCTAATTTAATTTATATTAAAATTAAATGCATTGTATTGTCTGTTTAACAATTTACTTCCACAAAACATAAAATGAAAAAACTAAATCATCAAATTACCTTTGTTGGCATATGACATATGGGGTAGTCGAGTTTGCCACGTTGCCATATTATCAAAGTTTCTCCAGGTTTTATGTGTCTAGACTTTATAGAGAGATGATAGTTCACAGCTAATTTGAAGCACTAAAAAGTACTTGTTTTATACAGTAAGTTAAAAATGTATGGAAAATCACGAATTTTTAAGAAAAATTTAATAAAAAATTGTAGTTTTTTAGCTTATTTGCCCTATTATTGACATCAAGCATGTGTATTATTCACAAAACAATTATGCTATTGTTTTATATTCATAGAATTATAGGACACGAAATATAAGATACGAAAAGAGATATACGTATCTGTGATTTTTACTTTTAAATTTTTGTGGTGTGGCATTTAAATCTTTTAAGTAGTAATTACTGACTCTAGGTAAAATGGAATTTAATTACATAATAGATGTTATGAGAGTTTATAATAAAACTGATGAATAGTTGTTGGAATGGATGAGTAGGAATAAAAGGTGAAATCACAATTTAGATGCAAACAACGTCTTTGCCTAACCTATCGTCGGCCGGGCGTTGTTTTTCCATCTACATCATAAGATCCTGCTACGCTCGTAACACCACTACTGAAGAGAGCGAGCGAAGGGAGCGTGCCTGGCCTACGTTTTGAAATTGGCGCTAATTTCGAAAAGTAGGTCGGGTACGCCCTTTTTCCCCTTTTTTTGCACCTACAGCATAAGAGCACGCTTATGCTGAAGAGAGCGAGCGAAGCAAGCTTGCCCGGCCTACTTTTCGAAGTTCGCGCGAATTTCGAAACGTAGGCTGGGCGCGCTATTTTTCCTCCTTAAAGCACGCTTACGCCTGTTGCCTCCATGTGAACTTTTTGTCAAAAAGTACTGTTAGGAATTTATGTTGATCAACCACATGTAGCGAATCTCCATTGTGGAAGAAGAGGATTGCGTCTTTTGCTGAACTGAATTACTCGTGCGTTAAGCCAGATATTTTAGAATTAGTGTTTCTTCCTTTCATCTATCTTATCTTGGTCCAGATTTGAGTAGGAGAGGTATCAGAGGTTATTGTGCTTGTGAATGTGTTCCACGACTCTCGTTTACTTTGTTTTAGAATCCTTTTTGATTTATCTCTTATTTTTTTGAGGTTTATCAAGTCTGTCTATCACTGCAATGTTGCAAGATTCATTCCACCAGGGAACGGTTCGTTTTAGAGGGTTGGCCTATACATTTATTGGCTGCAGAAATTATGGAGTTAGTAAATTGACCAACAGCTTCGTATACATCATTCGAATAGTTTGGCGTTTGGCTGTAGAGATTTCAATTTGCTTTTCCACTTTCCTTTAATGTTAACTTGTTTTGGTTCGTTGTCTGAAATTAGGATAGGAAAGTGGTTACTGTCATAGAGGCTATCAAGCGTATGCCATGTTAATAAGGGTGCTATTCCTGGATCTGAGAAGCTGGGGTCTAATGAGGAGAAGGATCCGGATTGTACGTGGAAGTATGTGCTGCTGCCAGTATTGAGTAGATTAATGTTGCAACTGTTGATTATGGTTTCAATCATTTTGCCACGGCCAAACGTACGTTCTGAACCCCACATTGTGTTGTGTGCATTAAAGTCACCTACCAAGATAAAAGATATAGGAAGTTGACTTATGAGATCCATTATACCTGTGTCTCTTACAGTGTAATTTGAAGGGATGTATACACTGCAAATTACAATTTTGTCAGAACACTATGCGGTGATGGCAACTGCTTCTAAGTTTGTATTTAATAGTAGCTCTTGGTGAAAAATATCATTAGAGATAAAAACTGAGGAACCCCCACTAGTACGTAAATGGGTGGTTCTAATGAAATGATAACCAACATACCTTTTTAAAAGAGGGTTCAGAAACTTGGTAAAATTAGTTTCTTGTAAGCAAAGGAAGTCTGGTGAGTAATCATATATAAGCTGTTGTAAGCGTTCCAAACGAGGGTAAAAGCCGTCGCAGTTCCACTGTATTAAAGAGAGGGGCATGGTAATAAAACAAATTAGTATGACGATTTATGCGACTGCTGTGAGCAATCGGAACTATAATCTTCATCACTTGGTTCGATAGACATGTCCAAACTCTAAGTTTCTGTAGTGTCGGATTCAAACTTTTTCTTAATCTTTTTGATTATACAGGTAGTTCTTTATGGATCTATCTGTGAGATCGGGGTAAATTAGACTAGGCCAATAATATCTGTGTGTTTTAGGGCTTCCAAGTATGCACTAGAGTTACCAAAGGAATTTTCTAAGAAGTCGTAAAGGTTTTCTATAGGAAATATGAAGGAATCTGGTTGTGGTGAGGTTTGATTCAGTGGATACACTCACCTTGCGCTTTTTCTTTGTTGCTTTAATAGGTGGTATGGAAAGTGGAACAGATGCAGAGGGGGGCATAACGTCTGTGTTATTTTCTGCTTCAGCAAGTAAACTTTGTTCGCTTTGTGTTGAAAGCTGGGAATGCCCCCATTTTTGGGCTGGGGTCAGAACTGCAGCAGGTTGGTTTTCTTGTAGGATTTTTGGGTCTTCATTTGAACAACGAAGTGTTTTCTATTAGGTTTACAGAGTTTGTTTTCGAAGATACCTGTTCAGTTTTTTCAGACAGAGTGGGTTGTGACAGTATGATGTTAGTTGGAGGATTTAGGCAATTTGAAGCAATGTGTCCGGGTTGCTTGCAAATAAAGCACTTTATTTTTTCTGTAGATACAAAGATTCTGTTTTCGTTGTCGTCAAAAGGGATGATTAATGCTGTCTGCGATTCAAAGTCCTCCGAGAGGGGGAGAACGTATACTTGTCGTCTAAAACTTATGTAAATATTTATCGCCTGGAATACTAGCTCTTAAGAACAAGATAGGGAGGTTAACTGTAAACCAAGACTTTTTATACCATTTTCAGCGAGATCATTGGGTATATAAGGAGATATGTTTGAGATGATTATCCGTTTTGTCGGAGAAACGAGTCTGCGGATGCTTATAATAATATTGCTGATAGTTACGGATGCATGGGATTTTAAAAGATCGTCAAAGAGATTAGAATTGGCTAAATAGATACAGATCCCATTATTCGAGATCCTCGAAGCAAAAGAGATGTGTTTGGGGCCTACAATATCTCCTATTTCCTTAACATAGTCAAATAACTTTGGGTTATCATCAGCGTGCATTACAATGGCTTGATCCTTTTTTGGGAAAGATGGTTTAGATGTTGTCTTAACGACTGATACGTAACTGTTGCTGGAAACTGGATTATTGGTTTTCAAATTGTGCGACATTTTAGTTTCTGTGGGTTGAGGTAAAACTGTTTGATTTGTTCTTGCCCTTGTACTCAAAAGCAATTTGTTAAGTTTACTTAATTAATTACAACTTGATGGTTTTAATTCAGTGTGCAGCAATATATCAATATTAAAATACTGCCTACGCCTCTGGTAAGGAGGGCAGGCAAACAACTGAATTGTATAGGAAAGCTGTTGATGATTTGGCTATAAAGAAGTAGAAACGAAAAAAATAAAAACAAATAATCAGCGCATCGACAAAATTCAATTAAAAATATTTAAATACACGATCGAGCCTATGTTTTTTTGAATTTGTTCTAGTTTGCAGATCGCTGTCAATTGTTGGGTTTTTGTTACCGAGACAACTGCAGCGTATGTTACTAATGGCACCGTGATTTCACTGAGAACGAATGTCACACATAGACATGGTAATTCGTCGGCTTGCACATAACGCATATCGCGTTAGTATTTGTAATTTAAAAATTACAATTTTTTACAAAAATCGTCAAAAACTGGGGCGCGTTTTACTCACGATGTTTTATACATTTTGAAGCACATTCCAAATGTGTACATATGTCTATCTTTACGCAAAGTGTCTCAAAATTTGTCCAGGTAACGATATATTAAGTAATAAATGTATTCCTTTCACTTACAGTGTATTACTGTATTTTACTGTATTTTAAATTAAAATTATATATAACAAAATATTATCTCGCATTCTTGTAAAGCTTTCATAAAAAAAAAAACATTTTTAATATTTGTTTTACTTTGAACAACAACTGTAACCCTACACTCTTCTTACTTTATATCCAGTCGTTATAACATAACACTAGCTTTATGTAATAAAATACTTCATTGTATTTAAGAGGTTTTAAAGTTAGATAAGAAGGTTAAGTGAACACTATAAGTTAAAATGACATTTTATATAATAAACTTTATGGCTCCATTTCACTTAAGAAAACTGGTACAAGCAATAATGGCAGTTTTGAAAGAATATCGTAATTAAATTGTTAACAGTTACAGATACCTGCAGTAATTAAATAAGACGTTTTAATATCGAATATAATCAAATGGCTAGAGCTAAATAAAAAAGGATTAAACTTTAAATTTATAAAGGAGAATGGGCGGTTTTGCTCCACCTCCACCTCCCAATAGGAATAAGATATAATACCAAATGAAAGATCGGTAAGGAGAACATTTCGTTTTGTTATGACTTCTATCAATTGTCTGTCCGTTCCGAGTTATACAGTGTGTCTATTTAAGTTGAAACCGCATGGAATTTTTTTTTATTGTTGGTTCTGTGAAAAAAAGTATTCTTGGTAAAAAGTTTTATATGGTCCAAAACTTGAAATGTTACTTCATAAAGAAACACCTACTGAGGTAGGAGAAAACATACCAGAGGAGAATCAGTCCTTGGTCGTTGAACCACAAGAAAGTGTTGCCACAGAACAAGAGACTGACGCTCCAATGGAAATAGGGGACTTGGAATCCGCAGCACGCGAGCTAGGTGAAGACGAGGAGAGGACTCTTTTAGGGGACTCACCGCTGTCTGACACAGCTGACGTGCCGGAGGAGGCAGAGGACCCTACATCAAGAAGTAAGGGGGTACCTTTAACAAAAAAAAATGAAGGTAATCCAAGCAAATATACATCACTGTTGGGCGGCAACAGCTGTCCTACAACGATGTATAATAAAACAAGACATTGATCTTGCTCTAATCCAAGAACTTCTTATATACAAGGGGCGAATTAGAGGGTTGCATATATCAGGGGACTATGACATGATTTATTCAGCTTCTGGACACCCAAGAACCTGCATTATTGCAAATAAAAGCTTGAAGGTATTTCCACTATGGGAATTTTGTACAAATGACCTAGTGACAATATCCCTAAAGCTAGACGGAGGAACTAATCTGTTGGATCCGTATATCTACCATATGACCAACCTGGGCTCCTCCCCACAAAGAAGGTAAGAAAACTGGTTAGTCATTGTAAAAAAAATAAAACAAAATCGAACTTCTTCTAGAGTGTGATGCCAATGCTCACCCTATAGTATGGGGGAGCACTGACATTAATAATCGAGGAGAAGCTCTTCTGGACTTTATTGCTTCCAATAAACTAGAAGTTGCAAACGTTGGAAATAAACCAACCTTCGTAACATCTGTGCGAAGGGAGGTAATTAATATAACACTAGGTATACAACGGGCATGTTCATTGATGGGGAAGTGGCACGTCTCACAAGAAGCATCACTTTCCGACCATAGACATATCCTGTTTGAGCTGGGTACTAAAACCTCGGGTGAGGACCTGTAACTGGGGAGCTTTCAAGAAAGAAGTCAAACAGGGACTGGAGGACTATCCTCCGATACCGAAGAATTCAGTGGAAGTTGAGTTTGTCAGAGTTTCTGACACAAACCCTAACCAACACGTTTAAAAAAAACTGTCCTTTAAAAATTAGGAAAGAGGATCGAGACGCTGTATGGTGGAATCGAGACCTTTTCAAAAAAGAGCAGAAGTTCATAAACTCTTCAACCTGTCTAAAAGGTCGGGGAACTGGGAAGCCTATAAGGCGTACCGGAGAGAATATGGCTATGCCATTAGGAAAGCCAAATAAAATTCCTGGAAGAAATTTTGTGACGGCATTGAAAGCCTTCCAGAATGTGCCAGACTCAGGAAAACTCTACAGAGAGATAAGCAAGGATGCATGGGATCTCCGAAAAATCAACAAGGAGAACTCACAAAAACAGAGGAGGAGACCTTAGATTTACTACTAAAGTCACACTTTCCTGTGATATTATTTTTGTCCAACAGAAGTAGTGAGGCACTAATTTCTAGGGCCTCAAAAACAAACTGGTCTCTTGCAAACTCAATAGTAAACACAACAAAACTTATGTGGGCGATACATTCCTTTCAACCAAACAAAACAGTTAGACCTGATGGTATAATCCGGGCACTTCTACGAAAGGGCCAGAAAGTACTGGAGGGACCACTGTGTAAACTATCCGAGCTAGCATAGCCCGATATGTTCCACAAAGCTGGAGGTGTGCAAGAGTGGTCTTCATTCCCAAACCCGGGAAAGCGTCGTACGAGGAGACCAAATCTTTCAGACCAATCATTTCTCCTAAGAAACTGTTGCCATAGAGACAGTTGTCATGATAACGACTAAACAAAAAACCCAAATTCAGTGGTAAGGAAATGCATAGTTACCAAATTATAGATGATTTAATCTAAGGCCTTTTTTAATGCAAGAATTTTTGAATCGCTCTGTATATTTCAGAAAATGTTAAACAAATCTAATGGGATTTGAATGTCTTCGACTGCTTTTCATTTTAAAAGTTATTTTACGAAAAAAAAAAACACTCCTTTTGCCACCTGACTAATTAAGAGAAACAAATGTTACATTTTAACCAACTCAAAAACCACTTAAGATGTTAAAGAAGTTATTTCTCTATCGGTTTGCTTATTTTGAACTAAATCGAAACCTCTTTAATATAAAGTTTGTTTTCATTTTCCTCAGTTAATAATATTTCAGCAAATGTATAACAAATCTGGTAGATTTGAATGCTTTAGATCGCTTATTCCTAACTTTAGTCGTTTAAAAGTTATTCACGATTAAAATTATTTTACGAAAACATATCCTTTTGCCACCTTACTAATGGCGCATTCACAACTAGATTTTTTATTTTGGCAAATAACTCGAAAACGAATTCAGATATCAAAGAACTGATTTTATTTTTGGAATCTAGAAGGTATTCTTTATCTATGTGCTTGTTTTGAACAAGATCTTAAACGCAGAATACTTTCACTTATAAAAAAACATGACTATGTTATAGCGAGAGTGTAAAAATTATAGAACCACAAGAAGAAGACTAGGTTCGCCAGTAAAGTCTATCAACTTATGAAAAATAAAACTACAATTCACTTAGACTTGCGCGTTTGCGCCTCTGTATTATACCGTTCTTTAAATTTTTTAAACAATTCTTCTTGCTCTTGAAGGAACAAGATAACCATCAAACTGAGATGGTCTAGTAATCCGCTCAAGACGTTTTCCATGAAAAGTATCAAACTTTCCACGAAAGTATCAAAATCCTCGGTAGGTACCATGTCTGTAGCCGTTTTACCAACAGACTGAAGCAAAGTTGAAGAGGTAGACCATACCGTTGTTAATGTTTCTTCAGTATCAAGTTGGAGCTGCTTAACCTAAAAATATATTCTGGTAATAGAATTTTATAGAAGAGTTTTAAGACAAATACCTGCGCGCATGCTTCTGCGCACATCTCTTGCACTAACTTTTCAGCAGCTGGTCCATGTTTGTTGATCACTTCTTCGACATTCTTTTTTACCAACTCATTGATCTCTTCTATTTGCTTACTGCTGATCTCTATGATTTCATCAAACTTCGATAGAATGTCTTCTTTCAGATCTTTCAGAGTCTCTTTTATTATTAAAGCTTCTTGTAAATCTTCGCCTGCGGTTGCCATGAGGCCTGCATTTCTTTTAAATACGGCGATGATTTGTATGAACTGGAATTTTTGAAAGCTATATATAGAAGGAAAAATGACAGACGTACAACCTACAGGTTAGGTCGAATCAATGATAATCTGAAGCTAGACTAGTAATAGACCGTCATATAGTGACATATTTCGGTACTCTATTTTCACAATCAAACCTTGAATAGGGTTGAAAACTACATCGATTTTGAGTAGAATGAAAGGAAATTTAAGAGTGGCTCCTGGGGATAACATATGAAAAATTCGATTTTCCTTAACAAAAATTAAAGGTATTTGTTTGCCCTTTTGCCCACATTTTGACGCAAGGCGTGTTCACTAAATGATTAACTAATAAAACTAGGCTTTGAAAAACTAAAGGCTTTAATGTTGCTTTAGTGTTTGCATGTGTTTTCTAATTTCAATTCATAATGTTGATAATAAACAAAAGCAAAGTTTATTTATATAATATTTAAAAGGACTGATTTATAATTGAATAAAAAAACATCAAATGCTAGCAAATTGGCGGTGCATCTTCTTTGGCAGCATTTTCTGCTCTTTCCCTCTCCTCAGCTTTCATTTTCTTGTACGCTTCGAACTTTTCACTCTCCTCCAATTTTATTTCCTCCAATCTCTTCATTTCATCGATCAGCTTAATCTTAAGATCATCGACAAGAATTTCCTCTTCCTCCATGATGCTTACAGCCAATCCTGGCAAACCAGCTTGCAATTCTCTGATTTTTCTATCCGTCAGACCAATAAGATCTTCAAACGTGCCTGTTCTTGCACCAATAATGTCCATGGATTTGCTGTAGATAAGCTCCATTTTATCGCGAGTGGTTCTCCATATTTTGGCTATTAATTCTAGGGTTTCGTCTACGATGAGGCTTATCTGGAATAAATATCACGTTTGAATACACATTTTATAAAAGGATTGGGTTATAAAGAATAGCAAAAATTACCTAGACAAAAAGACAAATAATTGCGTACCTAACCTGTTTCCTAGCATCCTTATGAGCCCTATCCAAGTTATGAAGATTCCTTTCAACTCTTGCAAATACAAAATCTATATGATCCAATAAACTTTCATTTAATTCTATCACTTCCTCTTCAGACGCTTTCTTATTCAGTCCATCTTCGGTTTCCGATCTTTTTTTAACAGCTTCAATTTGGTCAGTTTGCTTTTTTAATTCCTCATCGAAATCGTCTGCATCTTTTTCTGTTTGTTTCTCTATTTCATCGATCATCAGTCTCAATTCTTCATCTACGTGAAGTACTCTTTTGGTGGCTTTCTTTATTATGTTACTGACGCATGATACCACATCGTCTCTACGTTTCTTCAGACTAAGTTCTACTCTATCTCTGTATTTTTTGGACATGTTTACTGAAGATTTAAATAATTGGGTGTTTTATATGGTTTATGTCAAAAGTGAGTTGACAGTTCTTTAATCATTTTTACTGGCTGGCATATCTTGAAGACCAGTCAATTGTATATCGTTGATTACTATACGGTGCAAGAGAGAGGTCCGATACGCCCAACATAGAGCGCGGCCATTTTTATTCCTATGCCACAATTTATAGCTAAAGAATCAGATCGCTCACTCTGCGTCGGCACTTTTGATCTTAATGTTCCAGTTTATACACTGCGCAACTCGGATAATACAAAATATGACAAACGCCTATAATAAAATAGCAGTCCTGAATTTGTATCCCTGGAGTGGATGTTATTTTGGGACTTTCAACTGGTCTGAGTGAGCTACTGATTCTTTAGCAATAAACTGTGACTCCACAAATAATATTCATTGACAGTGACAGCAGCAAGCAAAATATCAGGTGCATTTTAATCATCCGCTTCTGCTTCCGGAATTGTCGGTTTAGTCGTTTTAACCTGTCAGATTAAAACAAGAAAACCGACCATTCCGAAGCAGAAGCGGATGGTTAAAACGCACCTATTAAAAATATTGCGCCAAGATGTAGGCAACACGTAATAATGGATCAAAATGGCGGAGTTTTCTATCTCCTTTTAAAAGGCACTCAGACAGCTGCGCAATGCGACCATTCTCCGTATAGTAAAAGAAAATCAAAGTATGTGATATCGTACGATGCAGACCAAGTGTCAAAAGTATAAAAACTATGATCTCATTATAAGTTAAATGCTAATAGCGTTTTCGACTGGTCACACTCAGTTCACACTCGTAAAGTGCGATTTTTCGTTTCTCAGCACTGGTTCAATTATAGCGGATTTGACTCAAATGCTCTTGCTCGATAACAAAGCGGTTTTAGTTCTGAATTGATTTTGGGCAGCATTTTTATAATTCAAGTTTATATCTAGCAGTGCAAACAGCAAGCACGAGCTAGAGTTCGACATTGGTGTAGCGCTTTTTTAGGGGCGTTTGATTTGAAACTCGATCGAGCGAGCGTCGAGGAGACCGAGAAGTGATGACGTCACAATAGAGTATTGAAACAAATCAAATAAAACAGAGTAAAAAACATAACCTCGCTTTTTTGTGATTCTTGTTTCTGGTTTGTGTGTCAAAATAGTGAGCAAAATGTAAAGAAAATTGTAATTAGGCTCTGAAATGCAGCATATACCACAAATGCCCACTTCGCTCTCATCCTCCATGACTGTGATTACTGGTGATTAGATCTGGATAGAGAAACACACATTTTGTGTTGTTTATGATGAATAATTTTAGTTATAAGACAAAAGCGGCTACGTAATTTGTTGACTTTATGTCTGGTCATTAATTTTGAGATTCAAATTTGTATGTAATAGCGGATTCGACTGGTTGCATTAATGCGCATTTAGCTCGACTTTTTTAAGTGGTGTCTGTTCGACTGGCAGAATCTAATTAATTAAAAGTCAATTATTGCATTCGACTCAAATTGCTTGGTATCAAGGCATAGTGAAATTTTTGTTTGACTGGCAGGCGTTCTTGCTCAAAATTTGAATTTTTTGGAACTGTACTTTTTTTCAGTGCCAGTGTCGTTTTGGAGGTTAGGAATTATTTAATATTTTGAAATATATTACCATCTTTGTTTTTATTATTAGTGAGAATGGCAAATCTTTGAAATTAATAGAAATTTAATTTTTGGTTTGGCAACTATAAAGAAATATCGTTAAAAATTTGTTAGAAACCTGAAATATCAAGTGCTAACTGTGCCAGTCGAATAACGATAAAGATGCGCGCCACCAATGTCGAATTCTAGCTCGTGCTTGCTGTGTGCACTGCTAGATATAAATTTGAATTATAAAAATGTTACCCAAAATCAATTCAGAATTAAAAGCGCTTTGTCATTGAGCAATAGCATTTGAGTCGAATCCGCTATAAGTTAATTAAAAAGAGGTAGATACAAAGACAAATTTCTCCCTCTTCTCGATCCGTCTGCTCTGAGAACATCGAGCTCGCTCTATGTTCTCGCTCCAAAGCAAAACAAACACTTTAGGGATCTTTCGGAGTGTCAATTCAAACACGTTTGCAGCGCTCGGAGATCTCCGATGATCAAATCAAATGCACCATTTATCGTTATTCGACTGGCACAGTTAGCACTTGACATTTCAGGTTTCTACCAAATTTTTAACAATATTTATTTATAGTTGCCTAACCAAAATTATATCTCTATTAATTTCAAAGATTTTCCAATCTCACTAATAATAAAGACAAAGATGGTAATATATTTAAAAATATTAAACAATTCCTAACCTCCAAAATGACACTGGCACTGAAAAAAAGTACAGTTCCAAAAAATTCGAACTTTGAGCAAGAGCGCCTGCCAGTCGAACAAAAATTTCACTATGCCTTGGTACCGAGCAATTTTAGTCGAATGCAATAATTGACTTTTAATTAATTAGGTTCTGTCAGTCAAACAAACACCACTTAAAAAAGTCGAACTAAATGCGCATTAATGCAGCCAGTCGAATCCGCTATTATGCAAACTTATTCCAACCGAACACGCAGTTGACCCACATACTTTGATTACTATACGAGGCAAGAGAGAGGTCCGACACGCCCAACATAGGGCGCGGCCATTTTGAACCCTGTGACACAGTTTACAGCTAAAGAATCAGATCGCTCACTCTGCGTCGGCACTTTTGATCTCAATGTTTCAGTTTATACACTGTGCAACTCGGATAATATAATATATAACAACTGCCTATAATAAAACAGCAGTCTTCTGCGTATCCTGAATTTGTATCCCTGGAGTGGATGTTATTAAAAATATTGCGCCAAGATGTAGGCAACACGTAATAAGGGTTCAAAATGGCGGAGTTTTCTATCTTCTTTTAGGGGCGTTTGATTTGAAACTCGATCGAGCGAGCGTCGAGGAGACCGAGAAGTGATGACGTCACAATAGAGCATTGAATCAAATCAAATAAAACAGAGTAAAAAACATAACCTCGCTTTTTTTGTGATTCTTGTTTCTGGTTTGTATGTTAAAATAGTGAGCAAAAAGTAAAGAAAATGGAAAAACTTTTAATAATAAGGGGTAATGGCCCTGAAATGCAGCATTTACCACAAATGCCCGCTTCGCTCTCCTACTCCATGACTGTGATTACTGGGGATTAGATCTGGACAGAAAAAATATATTTTCCAAACACACATTTTGTGTTTTTTTATGATGATTAATTTTAGCTATAAGACAAAAACGGCTAAGTAATTTGTTGACTTCTTATCTGGTCTTTAATTTTGAGATTCAAATTTGTTTGTAAGTTAATTAAAAAGAGATAGGTAGAGACAAAGACAAATTTCTCCCTCTTCTCGATCTTTCTGCTCTGAGAACATCGAGCTCGCTCTATGTTCTCGCTCCAAAGCGAAACAAACACTTTAGGGATATATCGGAGTGTCAATTCAAACACTTTTGAAGCGCTCGGAGATCTCCGATGATCAAATCAAACGCACCATAAAAGGCACTCAGAAAGCTGCGCAGTGCGACCATTCTCCGTATAGTAAAAGAAAATCAAAGTATGTGAGTTGACCACCCAGTGCATTGTATTCAATTGTATTGTATTTGACAGCTATCATCTGAGTGATAGGTAGAAGTAGTACCTTTCAAATTCC